CTCAATGCCACTGCCACTGTGGTCTTTCTAAATCACAGCTCTGGCATGATCTGATCTTGCCTCCTATGGCTTCCCACTGTCACCAGGTTAGGGGCAAATGCTGGTGGTGTCTTCGTCTTTTCTTTTTTTCTTTTCGGGGTACTGGGATTGAACTCAGGGCTGCTCTATCACTGAGCTACACTCTTAGCCCTTTTATTTATATATTTTTATTTTGTGACAGGGTATCACTAAGTTATAGAGGCTGGTCTTAAACTTGTCATCCTCTTGCCTCAAGTGCCTCAGTTGCTGGGATTACAGGCCTGCACCACGTGCTGTTTCTGAGCTGGTATTTATACCTCCCTCTGGCTGCTACTCGAGACACACTGCTTCATCCCAAGCCAGCCTCCTTCCCTCTGCATCTCCTACATCTTTCCACTGATCAAGCCTGCTTCAGACCCCATCCTGGCTGGCAAGCATTCTCTGATGGAGCTAAGGGGACCTGCAGCCCTCAGTTTGTCCTTCTCTCATGGCCCCTGGTATGTACCCCACAGAGTCTCATGGAGCCTGTCCATGACCTGTCTGCCAATCAACTGGGCTCTGGGAGATCCCCTCTGGGACACACGGAGGACTCTCCAGCTGTGTGTCTCCTTCCTAGCAGCCTTCAGTGTGGGAGGTTGTCTCCATAGCTGATGGCTGATGGGAAGGAAGAGGCAGCTGCCAAGTGGGAACAGATGGTGAGTGGAGCACCCCACCACCTCACCCAGGCCAGGCACAGGGGATGACACTGCTGTGCAAACAGGCAGACACACCCTCTGTCCACTCCACAGATGCCCCCCTGGATCATCAAGGGAAAGAGCCGACCCACCTGGGGCCTGAGGGGTGGAGAGAAGTCCCTCCATATGAGCCTAGACTTGGGCTCTGGCTGACAGGCCTAAAATCCCAACTGCCACCCACTTGGTGTGTCACTAAGCGCTCTTTTTCTGAGAGCTTTAGCTTCCTTCTCTGTAAAGTGGACATCATTGACCTCCCTCACAGGGTTTGACTCAATGGCCACTCCTTTCTTCTTTTTCCTCCCTGGAAGGGGAAAAAAATGCCAGTTTGGTATCAGAAAGACAGTATAGGAGGTATGGTATTGGATTGAGTAGAAGTTCAGATTTTTCTTTGAAATTTGAGAGAACTGGATTCTGTTTGGGAATTTATAGCTGTGTGACCACAGCTGCTACCAAGCCCACTTGACAATGAATCTGATAAATTGTACCTTCCTCTGAGTTGAGATATAAGTGTCTAGACTTATACTCTCCAGAGCCCAGGTGACCCTCTGCAATACAATAGTACCCTGCAGCCACATAGGCACTTTTGGGATAATCATGGTGTTTAACCTCTGAGCCGCTGAGCTTCAGCTTACCCATCTATAAAATGGGGTTATACAGTTACTTCTTGTGTATTCCCTGAACTGTTAGTAGGTTTATATCCATTGTAATGTCTACCTCAGTTTCCTTGGGTTCCCATAGGAACCAAAGATTGTTACACTCTTTAAAACACATTTATAAGTTTTAAAGGTGAGGCTGTGAAATGTGAACCACACCCAGGTCAGGATTGGAGTCTCTAGGCCCCCACCTGGGCTGTTCCAGGCCTTTTTGCTAAGACCAGCTTAGGCTGCTGGGTCGAGGGAAGAGGAGCTGGGCCCCAAAAGATTGAGCCAAACTGGACCCAATTCTAATGGGCACACAGGAACCATGACAGGGTCACTGAAACACAAATGTTGACCTCTTGGCCAAAAGGAATTGCATTGGCCTCCTCCCAGGGCAGGGCTTCCGGACAGTAGGCAAAGCCAGGAGCTTCCTGCAGTGTGGTGGGGGGTGGGTCTGGTTTCCACAGATGACAAGCACTTAGCCCAGAGCTTGGCACAGAGTGAGTCCCAATCAGCATTAACTGTCATCGCTAATGTGACAGACAGTGGCTGTCACCTTCCTGACTCCATAAAGACCTGCGGCACCCACCGAGCTCCAGGCCCTGTATGAGGGGGGCCCTCCACTCCAGCGTTGCTTTCAGCAGCTCACGGGGCTTATGAGGCGCATGCTGGGAAGAATGTAGAGGCTGTGGAGGACAGAGGAGGGGAAGTGCTCTTAATCCTCACTGCTGGGGCCAGGATTGGGGTTGATTAGGAAAGCTCTAAAAGAGCTGAAATTTGCAGTGGAGCTATTAATTCTCAAGAGACAGAAACTGAGGCCCAGAAAGCCACACAGAGTTTAAATGATGGCGCTGCCTGGCTCCAAAGCCTGAGCTCTGACCTCCAAGTTTGGCCCCTGCTTCCTGGTCCCGTCCTGGGGAGTCCTTTGGGATCTTGGCTGAATGGTGAGCTCAGCAGGAGCCTGATCATGATGACCCTGAGTGCCAAGCAAGGTTGCCTGGCTTTCAACCCCAGAGGTTTGGGGCAGCTTCTGTTGGGGTTACATGGAGAAGCAGAACACCACAGAGGAGCAAGAGTTTGCCAGAAGAGGTGGTCTTGGGATGCAAGGAACCCAAACAGCCTCAGATCTACCTCCTGCCCACACAAGAATGATGAAGAGTATGGGTTGCTGGGAACCAAGGGGACTCGGGTTGTGGGCATGGGGTCTAGAAAGCTTGAGGTCCTTGGAGGACCCCAAAATCTATCTTCTAACAACCTCAGTGCAAGCTGAGATCCTATGTCCCCTGGAGAGTAGGAAGGAGGCCTAAATTCACAGCTGGGAACAGGGCTGGGGTGGGGAACTGGGGGCAAGGAAAGAACAGTTGGTTCCTATTTCCCAGTGCTGATGTCAGAGGGGGCTGGGTAGGGCAGGACCCAAAGGGCCAAGGCCTAGGAGCCACTTCCTCTTTCCCACCAAGGAGCAATGTCACTCCCACAGTCCCCAACCCCTCAAGTCCTGCTCTATTCCAGGCAAGTCCTGGCCAGGGGGCTGTGGGAAGAAGAGGCATCAGGAACAAAAGTCTCTTTCCCTTAGCCCAATCCTGTTGTGCCTTAGGAGGGGACAGAGACTAGAGAACCAAGGTGAGTCAGAGAAAGGGCTCCTTCAGCCTGCAGCAGCCCCACCCCAAACCCCATCCTAAGGCCAAATCAAATCCTAAGGCAGCTTTAACCTCACATGGAATCCCAGACCCAACCCCAATCATAAACCCAGCCCAGCCACACCTCCAACCTCAACTGCAAATCAACTCAGTCCCAACTCTACAAGGAGGCTTAACCTAAACTCAGCAACCTCCACATCAGGAACATTCTCCACATCAGACCAATCGTAACTGGGCCCCCAATTCCAAACCTAAGCCTAGCACTGCCCTGTTCCCAGTCTAACCCTGACCCTAATCCAAATCCCAGTTCAAACCCCAAGATGGACTCCCATTCCCAACTGCTACAACAGTCCACCCCATTATAACAGCCCCAGGGCCGACCCCTCACCTAAAGCTGATGTTCCTTAATCCCACTCAGGTCCACCCAGCCCCCAGCAATCCCAGCATGGCCTGAGTGTTCCTGATGCTCATCCCTTTCCAGCACCCCTTTTAGTCCCAGAGGGATCACTGGCCTCGCCTCCAACCCAACTCCTTCCAGACCTCTACCCGGTGGGGTGGGAGACCTCTGCAGGAACACACGTGCACACCCACACACCTTAGCACATGAAGAAGTACATGTTAACACACACAGACACATAAACTTACACACACACCCCCAAAGCATGCTCAAATACATACACCTTGGCACACACACACATCCCAATATAAACACACACACTCCCTCATATACAAAGACACACCTCAGCATACATATGCACACACCCCAGCATATGCACAAATGTAACATAAACTCTGTGATACACACATCTACATACGCACACACCTTTCAGAGTACACACACACATCTTGGCATGCACAACACATTCCTCAGTGCAAATGCATGCACCTGGGTGTACACAGACACACACACCAGCAAGGGGAGTGAAGTCCAGTCTGAGGTGGATCAAATGCTTCCTGCCCCTCCCTGAGGCCTGGGCCCCTTTGTAGTTCCCTCCTCCAGGGGCTCTGCACCTTCCAGCTCCTTCTTCAGTGCTGATTACGCAGCAGGCCCAGGGATTACCCACCCGCTTTTTGGAGCTGTCAGGGCAACTAGCTAGGATATGAAGTAGCAAGATTGCGAGCTCAAGGAGATGCTTTCTTCTGTGTGCTAGGGCCGCTTGCCAAAGATCACATAGTGAGATCACAGTGAGCACGCAGTGCAGATGGAGGTCAGTCCCAGTGGGATCAGATTGGGGGTGCAGAGGACACATCAGGCAGTCTCACCTGCAATCTCATCGGGAGAATCTCAGGTGAGGACACTCTGAGGCTGCTGGGCAGGCAGGATCAAGGGACCAGCACATGAAGAGGCCAGACTGTGGCTTAGGCAGGTGACACAAAGGGGCAGTGAGAACCAGGATCTGCTGCTGATTACAATGTAACTGAATGGCCCCGTACAGAGTGCTCCCTGTGTACCAGGCATTTAAAGCCTCATCTAATCCTCAAAACCATAACACCTGTCTACAAGGTAGGTATTAATATTGGTCCCCACAGAGGACTCTGGGGTCTAGACTCAGAAAGGGTCTAATCAATATCCTGGGCCTCTCTTACCTCTCACTTTCCCAGACATAACACCCTCTGCACAAAATGATCCTCTACCCTATCCCATCTCAGAGAACCCCCACCCCAGCCCCATTCTCCAGGCCTCAGTATTGACACCACCTCCTTGGGAAACCCTCCCAAGCTGCCCTGCCGCCCCCCTTGTGAGGTGGCCTCTCCCTGGCACCCACCCCAGTAGCAGCCCTGTTGCCCCCACCCTAATGGCCCTGAGTGTTGTCACTGTCTGGGTTTGGGCCTCCATCCTGAAGGGTAGGGCTTGGTCTGCAGGCCCCACCCCACAGCACAGGGCCCGACCCAGCCCGCCTATGGGTCAAAGTGGTGCCCTGGGAGCGGCCCAGGGCTCTGCCAGGCTCGGGGTTGATCTCTTATCTCTCAGGGCTGCCTTGAGCCTTATCTGATGGGGCCTGACAGGCAGCAGATGAGACACTGACACAAGCTCAGGGTTATTCAGTAACCCTGACCTCTTTAAAGCCCCACTGTTTCCTGCGACATCCAGACCAGCTGCTCCTCCAACTAGGGCTGAGAGAGAACTGCAGTCATGAACACCTTCCTGCTCTCAGTGCTGTGCCTCCTGGGAGCCTGGGCCACCCTGGCAGGGGCAGTCACCGTGCAGGTAAGCCCCATCCCTACCTGGCCCTTGAGAGAGCGCAGCGGCTTTGGGGGCTGGAGTGGAGGTGTGCATTTGAGGCTTGCACTTCCTTGGGGACCCTCTTCTCCGTCCTGTCAGCCACACACACCTTTTGCTTCAAACCTGGAGCAAAAAGAACCCAGGTAGGAGAGAAAACTGGGAAAGGTGAGTGATGGAATGCCTGCCAGTTACGGTACCTCCCTGAGCTTCTCATTGAGGCCCCAGCACCCTGTGAGGAGGCGGTTTTTAACTCCATTTTACAGGGAAAGGAAGCTGAGCCCCAGAGAGGTTCTGTAAAAGAGATGTCCAGTGGAGAAATGAAAAAGCTGTATTCAAACCCAGGCCTTACTCCTCAGCCCTGTGCTTTGCAATCATCTGGGTCCCAGGAACTGTGAGGACACCCCAGAGGTCCAGATGGTTGGTTGCAGGACAGTGCCAAGCATGCTGGCACCCAGTAGGGGATCCTCACTATGAGAGACTCCTGGAGCCTCTTAAACAAAAACCAGGCTGCAGGCTGGAGATGGGGGCCCAGCAAACAGCTGGCTCTTGGGCAGGGGAATGCAGCCTGTGCATGGCTGTGTGGAACTAGGATACCTGAGACTCTGCTGCACCTCTCCCTAAAAACCAGCTCATGGAGTCCTCATCAGGCACCTACTGTGTCCCTGGCCCTCCACCTCCATTTTCTTCATTATTCATGACAGCTTGCAAAACCTGAGGCCTCCGAGTACCCAGGGTCACAGAGCAAAGCCAGCAGGGCAGGGACTGGCTCTGACCCCCACACCAGCTCACTGGAGCATCTGTTTCCTAGGCACATTGCTCATGTGCCCTAGAGCTGAAACTGCAGGGTTGGGGTCCCACCAGGGAGCTGAAGCCTGCCCTCCTGCCTTGGCTATCTTGCTCAGGATGGAGACTTCTCCTTTTCCCTGGAGTCAGTGAAGAAACTTAAAGACCTCTGGGATCTCCCAGAGCCTAAGATTGGGAACTTCAGGAAGCTTGTGCCCACCCTTGGTAAGCCTGTGGCTCCTGTGATCTGCAGCTATGAAGCGTTTCCAGAAGAAATCAGGCCTGTTTGCAAGGAGCCCAATGCTGAGGAGATCCTGCAGAGGCTGGGTGAGCGACCTCCTCTGGGAAGGCTGGGCTGGGGGATTCTCTGTTGATGGCTCTTGAGGAAGAGATGTTCTATGGTTGGTGGGGCTCTGTTCTAATTGGCGGGTCTGTTGAACTCACGTTATGGTTAGTTCCAAGTTGTAACTGATGAGACTTATGAAGATCCTGGTTCAGACAGATGGGTTGGTAGGTAGTACTGTGCTCCAACATCTGGTGCTAGTGTTATCTCTTCTCTGGGTAGAACCTTCATTCTGATTGGATGGCTTGAGTGTTCCATTTGTCCTTTTTGGGATGGGAAGCCCCTTCATGGGTCAGAGAGGCCAGGCTTGTTGGGCCTCTCCTGGGGATTGGGTGGCTGCTATTCAAGCTCTGGCTGAAGGGAGGCAGGGGCCCATGGGGGAGGGATTGCTGGCTCTCATCAGGCCCCATCTCTCCTGTCCAGAGGCCATCGCTGAAGACCCGAGCACGTGTGAGATCTGTGCCTTTGCTGCCTGTGCTGGATGCTAGGGCGGTGGTGTTCACTGCCCTCTCCCAACTTTGCAGGGAAGCCCTGTCTTCTGCTGGAGGGGCAGCCTGTGATATTCCCACACCCAGCTGCACAACCTGCCCTGCCCCAGAATTGGGGGTGGGGGTTGGGGGTTGGGGGTGAGGAGAGAACAGCCCAGAGAGGGGCAGGGGTACTAGAGATCCAGCCAATGCTCGACTAATAAACCAGATTCCAGAGTCCTTCCAGTGTTGCCTTTGTCTCTTGCTTTGTGGATGCCCGTCCTATCCTGGGAAACTCAGGGTTCAGCATGCCAGAGTGGAAGGATCCCAAGCTCCCTGCTAAGATATCCACCTGCTTGGGGCTGCCACCACACACGGGAATAAAGGGGAACGGAATCTCTAGGCCATCACTTAGGAGGGTGCAACCACTGCTTTTCTTTCACAACTTCTAGGGTCACCAAAATCACAAAACCACATATGACCACAAAGCCTGTCTGAACTAGTTAGGCTGTCCAACACAATGGATTGCTCTACTATGAGATCAGTGTCAAGCTCTTAATATTCAAGGCACCCAGGATCTGGCTTCCTCTGACAAGGCCAGCCTTGCCTCCTACCCTCCCCCATGATCCCATCCCAAGCTGCACACCTATGGCCATTTCCTTTGCTCCCACTCACCTACCTCTGCACTGACCCTCTGCTTGCACCGCTGGCCAGGTAAACGACCCAGGCTCCAAACATCACTCCATGCCGTCTCCTCAAGATGTCTTGTCTGATTCCCCCAAGAAGAGCTGTAGTGCTCCCACTCTGTCCTTGGTGCTTTCTGTGCACGTTGATTACCCACATCCTTGCACAACTCTGTTTACCCTGTTGTGCTGTGTCTGGGGAGCCTCTCTATCCCCAGACAGGGTGACATCTACCCACATATTGGTAGCATGAGGATAGACCAGGGTAGAGGGGAAGCTAAGACAAGGTGGTTTCAGCCTTGGGCTCCAGCCTCAAGCCTTCAACATGCTGTGTGAGACCTAAGAAAAGGAAGTAAGGCCAGTCAGTGAAAGGAGAGGGAACAAGGAAAGAGGAGATCACCAGGGTCCTTCTTGGGGAGTCAGGTGGAGAGGAAGTGCCACAGAGCCATTCAGGGAGGATTCCCATGATCTGTGATATTCAGAGGGTGACATCTCGTCTAGCTGAGGTGAGATACATTTTCATTAGCCCTTGGGGACTTGCATCAGAATGGATGGACTTTAAAACCAATGTAGAAGAGGAAGGAAGAGAAATTTCCAGAAGGTCAGGATGGTGGACACACATACACAAAGAGGGACTGGAATAGTAATAGTTCAGATGGGACAGTGTGGAGCCTGAGAGGCTGTCAGATTGGATTTGGGCCTGAGCATGTCATTTGCAAGGCATGTGCCCCTCCCCAGCCTTGATTTCCTCATCTGGAAATGGGATGAGAACAGATCCTTCCTCCGCAGGTGGCTGGGGGAGTGACGAGATGTGTGGTGGGTAGAATCATTTAATGCTTGAACTCTGGAGTCAGACTCTCTGGCAATTAATTCTGGCTTTGCTTGTTAGAGCTGTGTGACTGGGGGTGGTTTACTCCTCAGTTCCCTTATCTGTAAAAATGGGATGGCAAGAATTCCTATTTTTGTAGAGTTGAGTGAAGATGAGATGAAGTTATACTGGTAAAGTTTTAAGCTCCCTGGGTCTTTGACAACCAACAGGTCAAAGAAGAAATTAAAAGGAAAGTTGAAAGATATTTTCAGACAGGCAAAAATAAAAACACAAAATACCGAAAATTATGGGATGCAGCAAAAAACGGTTCAAAGAGGGAAGCAGTAAATGCCTACACAGAAAAAGATCTCAGTAAGCCATCTAATATTACACCTCAAGGAACCAGGAAAATAGCTACTCATGAAAAAGAACGTCCACTAACTTAGAGCAAAGTTAGCAGAAGGAAGGAAATAATAAAGATCGGAATAGAAATAAATAGAGATTAGAAAAACAATAGAAGAATTAACAAAACTAAGAGTTAGCCTTTTGAAAGATGAAAATTTTAACAAACCTTTAGCTAGACTAAGGGGGGGAGAAGAGAAGAGTCATAAAAAATATCAAAGGTTTTCTTCTAAGATCAGGAATAAAACAAGGATGCCCACTCTTCCTACTTCCGTTCAACATAGTGATGGAAATCCTAGCAATAGAAATTAAATGAGAAAATAAATAAAAGGCATGCAACTCGGAAAGGAAGACGTTGAGTTGTCTCTATTGTAGAACACATGATCTTAGATATAGAAAACCAAAAATACTTCACCAAAAAAAACTTGTTAGAACTCATAAACAAGTTGCAGGATGTTAAATAAACATACAAAAATCAGTAGCATTGCTTGGCGGAGTGGCACACAACTATAATCCCAGTGGCTTGGGAGGCTGAGGCAGGAGGATTTGCAAGTTCAAAGTCAGCCTCATCAACTCAGTGAGGCCCTAATTTACTCGGCGAGACCTTGTCTCTAAATAAGATATGAAAAAAAGGGCTGGGGACATGGCTTAGTGATTAAGTGCCCCTGGGTTCATCAGTAGCATTTCTACATGCTAACAATGAACTATCCAAAACACAAATGAAGGAAATATTATTTACAACAACAAAACAAAGCTTAGGAATAATTTAAGAAAGTAGGCAAAAGAACCATAAACTGAAAAATATAAAATATTAATGAAGGAAATTGAAAACATAAATAAGTGGAAAAATATTCCATGTTCATGGATTGAAAGAATTAATATAATTAAAATGTCCACACTACCAAAAGCAATCTACAGATTCAATGCAATCCTTATCAAAAGTCCAATGATATTTTTTCACAGAAATAGGAAAAAAAATTCTAAACTTCAAATGGATGCATGAAAGACTCAAAATTGTTAAAGCAATCTCAAGCAAAAAGAACAAAGCTGAATGCACCACATGATCTAATCTCAAAATCTACTCCAAGGCTATAGTAATAAAAATAGCATGATACTGATTAACACACACACACACACACACACACACCAAACATACAAATGAATGAAACAGAATAGAGTCCAGAAATAAGTCTACAACTGATCTTTGACAAAAGTGCCAAAATCACATAATAATTGTCCAATAAATTGTTCTAGGAAAACTAGATATCCACATGCAGAAGTATAATTCCATCCCATATAAAAAAAAATCAACTCAAATGAATTAAAAACTAAAGTATAAGTCCTGAATTGTAGAATTACCGGAAAATAGGGAGGGGGGTATTTCTTGGCATTGGTTTTGGATATGAAAAATGGGATGGCATCAAACCCAAAAAGTTCTACAGAGCTAAGAATAAGAGATAACCTATAGAATGGAGAACTGATGAGGGATTAATAGCCAAGATAAATAAGAACACAAGCAACTTATTAGCAAGAAAACAAGTAATCCAAATTTAAAGTGGGCAAAGGACCCGAGAAGATATTTCTCAAAAAAAAGATAAATGAATAGCCATAAGGTATATGAAAAGGTAATCAATATCACCAATCACTAGAGAAGCGTTAGTAAACCATGATGAGATACCACCTCAATCTTTAAAAAAGGGCATATATATTCATTCCAAAAGGTAAAAGGGTGTGTTGGGAAGGATGTAGCAAAAACAGACCCCTGTACCCAGTTGGTAGGAATGTAAATTGGTGCAGTCATTAGCCCTCCAGTGGTATGGAGGTCTTTCCTCTAATTAAAATTAGAACTACCATATGGACCCAGCAATTTCATTTTGGACATACATAAGATAAGAAATCAACATGTCCAAAATGTGTCTTCACTACCACGTTCATTACGGCATCCATCCCAATAGCCAAGGCATGGAATAAAGAAAATACGGGACACATACACAATGGAATGTGATTCAGCCCTGGTGTGGTTTGGATCTAGAAAGTCCCCCAAAGGCTCATGTGTTGATGGCTTTATCCCCAGTGCAGCAATGCTCAGAGGTAGGGCCCTTGGGAAATAATTGAATCATGAGAGTTTTGACCTCATCTATTGATGGATTAACAATTTGATGGCAATAATGGGAGGTGTTGGAAACTGTAGGAGGTGGGGCCTAGGTGGGTCAATGTGGGTGTATCCTGGAAGGGTTTATCTTATCCCTGACCCATTTTCCCCATTCTCCTTTTCATGGCTACTATGAGGTGAGCAGCTTTCCTCTGCCACACCCTTCCGCCATGATGTTTCCATCTCAGAACCAGCCAACCATGGGCTGAAACCTCTGAAACCATGAGCCCAAGTCAACCTTTCCTCCTCAATTGTTTTTCTTGGGTATTTTGTTGACTAACACTTAACATTAAAAAAAGAAAGAAAGAAAAATGGATTGATTCTGTTGTCTGTGAAGAGCATAAATAAACGTGGAGGAAATTGTGCTAAGTGAAATAAGCCAGGCATAGAAAGACAAGGTGTGCATGGCCTCACTTACAGGTGGAATCTAAAAGAAATCTAACGCATCCATGCAGAGAGTAGAAGGGTGGTTACCAGGGACTGGGAGCAGGGGAGAAAATGGGGGCATGGTAAAAAAAAAAAAAGAGGAAGAGGAGGGGGAGAGGAGGGGAAAGGGGAAGGAAATCAAAGCTCTCCTGGGCCACAGAGAGCACTTTGTAGGTGCTGCTGTTCTGCACATGAGAGGTGCTTCACAGTGACTGTTCCCTTCGCTATCTCCACCAGGTGAGCTATAGGGAGCAGTGGCACTTGCATCCAGAGCATGTCTGGGCTCAAGTTAGACGTGAGAAGTGGCACTGGGGAACCACAGCAGTATAAGGAGCATAGGGGGCCTACAGGCTACAAGGCCATGAAGGAAGCTTTGGCCTGGCCTGAGTGATGGTTGAGGATGAGGAGTAGGGGCCTAAATTGCTGCAGCAGGCCTTGCAAAGGGCCCCAGTCAACCTCACCCTGGGGGAGGGAGAGAAAGAGGCTGGAGGCTGGAGGCTGCAGAATTCCTGAGAAGAACTGGGCAGTCAGGTCGGGCAGCTGACTGAGGAGTCACCATGGCCTTGGGGAGCTTCTAGAAGGCACAGGTCCTTTGTATCTGGCTTCCCTCCTCCTTGGTTGCCCAGGATGAAGGACAAGATGGAGTTTGCTGTGGAAAGGCCTCACTACTGGGAATTCCCAGCACAGCTCTTGGATCAACTCTGTTCCCAGGGATTCCTAGCATGTCCCCTGGCTTTAGCCAAGGGCCCCGAAGGCTGTTAGGAGGTGGTGGTGGCTGCACTGGGCCTTGCCTTCAGCAGCAGCTTCAGTAGGCTGGCAACATGGAAAGGCAGGGACGGCATGGTCAGAACACAGACTGTGGTCCAGGCGTCCTGGGAAGAACCTGCTTAGCCACTTCCCAACTCTGTGGACCCAGGCTGAGTATTTCTCTGTGCCTACCCTCCTGACTGGTAAGGGAGATCGGAGTTAACCACAATGTCTACTTCACCTGACTGTTGTGAGTTGCATGTGCCAAATGTTCAGAATGGTGTCCAGGATATAGCAAATGCTCAATTAATGTTGGCTACTATTAGTACTCCTTGGGGCCACTGGGCTAGGGAGGGGAAAGGAAGGTCTTCTAGTTGGAGCTGGCCAGATGGCTCCCAGGAGGCCAAGAGCAGAGTGGGAGCTTAGAGAAGAGAAGATCTTTGTCTTCTGAGAAGGCCACTGGCAAAGCCAGCCCTAGTGTGGGCCTGGGAAGGGCACAGGTGACCTCCCTTCATTGCTCCTCCCATTGTCCTCACCCCTGTCAGGAGTACAGAAGCTGGCTCTGACGTGGGGGTCCTGGAGCTCAGCCTGAGGGTCTTACAAGCCTGGGTTGCTCTGTGAGGTCATGTGACTCTCCACCTGAGCTTTGCTCCCTCATCTATGATATGGGGCTTAATGAATCAGCTCTTTGGGCTTGGGAAGTTCTGCCAGTTATCTTCTGTCCAACCTTGCCCTCAACCCATGCAGCTTCCCAAGATGTTCCAATGGACAAACAGACACTTGGCTCCATGTGAATGGAGAGTTTATTCAGGAGCAGGGAACCCTGGGGGCCAAACGCTTCTCAATCTTGTGTCCCATTGCTTTGCACCTGATTGAGCTGCTCTGGCCTGGGAGGGTGGTGACGACTGTAGTGGCCAGGAGCCTCTGCTTGAGTGTGAGGGGCCAGGCATCCAGGGTGAGCTCAAGGCTCCCAGGGACATCTCAGCAACCGGTGCAGGCGACATTTACACACAGCTCACAGTCATCATTGGCGATGGTCCCTGGGCAGGAAAGAAAGACAGTCAGCTGACCCTAACCCTGGATCTGGAAGGTGGGTGGCCACAGGGGAGCTGCTGGACAGACTGCAGAGAGGGACTGTGTAGGAGGGGACCCGGCACCTTCTTCACAGAATGGGCACAGGGAGCTTTGGAAGTAGTGAGCTGGTCCCCATCCCAGGTGCTCTCCTTCCAAGCAGGGACTGGGCAGGGGACTTTGGTCTGTGCCCTTTTCTTGTCTGCTCCGTGGACAGCTAAACCTTTCAAAGGTACGTAGGAGGGAAGGTGGACAAAGGAGGGACACGGGGACCGGCCCAGAACAGGCTCAGCAAAATGCCTGCCAGTCACTGTGTTCCGCTGCCTGGCTCTGCCTCGTCCCACTGCTGTCAGCTCAGCCACCACCGCCCCTTGGAAGCTTTTTGGACCCTTGTCCCATCAGGTGTGAGGACTGGGCTCTTCTGCTGCTTTCCCATGCACTCACTGTGTGTTCAGGGGGCTATGAAGGCTTTGAGGGACTCCCTGGGACTAAGGGGGGGCTCCTGGCCTGTCTCACTTACTGTGCCCAGACGGGGGCCGTCCTGGGGCGGGGGGGTTGGGTACTTGAACCTCCCTCTCTGTAGCCACAGGAGCTTAACAGAAAGAACCTGTGGAGGAGGAGCTGGGATGGTGGAGGCGGCAGGAGGGGCGGGAGGTGTGCAGGGATGGGGGCACCTACTCAAGGTCTGGAAGATACTGGCAGCTTCCTGGGAGGTGCAGATGGGCCGGAGGTCCTGGGGCAGAGCTGGGTGGTGGCACACAGAGGGCAGGAGGCTCTTGGTTTGCAGGTGAGGGCTGGGTTCCTGCTGCCCCTCCAGGGCGCTCAACTTCTTCACCGACTCCAGCTGGACCTCGAAGCCTTGGTACTGGGGGTGGGTGTCGGGGAGATGGGAGGAGGTCAGGCCTTGGACCAGGGCAGGCACTTGACCCCATAGGTCTTCTGGCCCCTTCCCTGTCTTGATGGAAAGTCCAGAACACACGGGAAAGGGCAACCTGGGTGGAGGAAGCAGCCCTTGGCTCCCCACTATGCTGCTGGCCGTGAGGGCCTGGCGAGGTCTACACAGAGCTTTGGAGCGTGCTAGCTCAAGGCAGGGATGTCAGAGATGAGGGACCCTGGTTCCAATCCCAGCTGTGTTCTGGACTGGCTAACTTTCTCTTCCCACATCTAAGCCTCCGCTCCCTTATCTGACATTCCTTTAGGGATCCTGGTTCTGGGACATAATCACTAACAGGTCACTCTCCTTGAACTCACAGGGCAATAATGCCAACTCCAGGTTAACCAGAGGGACTCACCTTGATGTGGACTGACTGTGTGCTCTGCAGCAGAAGCAGGAGACCCACAGCTGCCCCCAGCAGGTGCCCTAACACAGTCCTGCTGTCCATCTCTGTCCTTTTGTGTTCTCGCTGCTGCTGTCCCTCTGGCTCCCACGGGCTTCCCTGGCTAGCAGCTCTTTATAGGCCAAGCTCTAGAGCCCTGGTCACTCATTAACTGGCCAGCTGGGGTGGGGTTGACAGAAATTTGGCTCTCTGACAAGCCCAGAGCTGATTCCCAGGCAGGGGATTGGGGATGATGACCAGGGGACGCCCAGAGCACACAGGAATATGGTGGGGCTGGGTCAGCTGCCTGCCTGGGCAGGGTTCTCTGTGAAGGTCACAGACCACTGCACTTTCCCCCACTCCTTGGCACCTGCAGTAGTGGAAAGACAGGGGAACCATCTCACAGACAGGGAGAGTAAGGTTCCTGAGATGAAGCAATTTGTCCCAGGTCACAGACCTAACCAATGGCAGAGAGACTACAGCCAGCTCTTTATGGCCCACGTCAGCCACAGTTCTTTCTCTGTGAAAGGTGCACAGGGGCAGAAGTGCCAGGTCAAGGTGGGCAGATACAGCGCTAATGTCAGGGTGCTCCAGCCCTGATGCCCTCAAAACCACCACATCTCCCACTCCTCTCCCCAGTCCTAATGAAGGACCATCCTTCTGTCCAGGTCTTGCCCAGGCCTCTACCTGCTGTCTCCTACCTGTGCCTGGTGCCCTTGGCTTCATGTGACCCATCTGTCCTGTCCGTCCCTTTCAGAACCCAACAGCCTAACCCAGCATGGAAGAAAGAGCGCTTGGCTTGCGGCTCTGTGATCCTGGGAGTCTCATCAAGTCTGACTGAACCTTCATTTCCTCCTCCATCACGTGGACATAAAAAAAAAAACAAACCCACAGCTGAAGGGTGTTATGAGTGCGAGGGGGCTCCAGTCACCTGAGTCACCCTCGTGTCCCGGGTAGCACACCTGTAGCAAGTTCCTCACTCTCACAACTACCTTCTAGGCAATGGGTAACTCACTGCCTCAGTGGCCGAAGGTTGGGTCAGAGAGAAGAGGGCAAAGTCTATAAGGGTGATATTACCATGGCCAGCTCAGGTGGCTGTCAACAGTGGCAGGGCCAGGACTCAGATCTGCCAGGCACCGACTCTGGCATGTGGCAGGCACCCCATGCATGATCTTGGCTCCCAGGGCCCATCTTGGATTCCAAGATCCCACTCCAACTTGGTGGCTAAAACCTGCTCTATCACGCCAGCCCAACTGACGTATGCCTAATACCATGGCACGTTTTCACCATGCAGTCCATCTGCTGGAAATGCCCATCATCTCATTTTTATCTTGGATTGAGATGGAAAACAATCTCAAGTGAACTTTGGAATTTCCTATGTCTTCCTTTGAATGCAAACTTCAGCCTTTATGAATAGACTTGACGTGCTTTCATGTCTGTAAAATTAAAAGGATCATGAGACAACAATAACTTTCATTTCTTGAGGGCTGTGTGCCAGGTGCAATGCTGTAGAACAGCATAATCCCATTTAATCCTAGGGGATGGGTGTAACAATTGTCTCCATTTTATAAACAAGTAGCCTGAGGCCTGTGAGGCACCCCGTTTGTTTCTCTGTGGGAATAGGAGGAGTGAGTAGTTTTTTTTTTCTTTTCTTTTGTTTGGGAACTTGAACCCAGGGGCACTCGACCACTGAGCCACATCCCCAGCCCTATTTTGTATTTTATTTGGAGACAGGGTCTCACTGAGTAGCTGAGCACCTCGATTTTGCTGAGACTGGCTTTGAACTCCCAATCCTCCTCCCTCAGCCTCCCAAGCCACAGGGATTACAGGTGGCACCACAACGCCTGGCTGCAGGTTTTCTATCCAGAGCATTCTTAACCCAGAATCCAGCAGTCATTAGTTATATGACCCTGAACAAGTTGCTTAGCATCGCTGAGCCATTGTTTCTTCAACAGGAAAGTGGAAAACATAATGAACCACTCCACCATGGTTGTTAAAAGGAAAAACTGGGCATTCCCTGTTCCAGGGAGCATGTGACTCTCTCTGTCCCCTGACTGACCATTTTCCCAGGAAGTACCTAGCCCACAGGGAACCTACAGTATAGGGTGGTTTCCCCTGACTGTTCTTCTCCATGGAACCCTCTTAGACAAGATGCAGCTGGAACAGTTCTGATCTCTGGCTTCTGCAAGCTGAACTGGATGCAGTTCTGTCCAGTGCTGAACTTGAGCATGGGACAAACCTCTGTGGTCTCAGTTTCTCATTTAAAAAAAAAAAATGAGCATCAGAAGTTGTCACGAGACCTCTTGGTCATGCTTTTTCTATCAGCATCAAGGGCTCTGCCACCACATCAGGAGCAAGCCTGTGGGTTTGGGAGTCCTGTGGCTGTGGCCTCTTTCCTTTCTTTACCCTCTGGGTCCTCCAGTCAGTGTCCGCTGCATGTCAGTCTTTCCCTGGGAACAAGGTATGACTTCCTCATCTGCCTGATAGGACTCAAATTCATTTTTCAAATCCATCTCCTCCTAATCTCTTCATAAATGACCTACCATTCATCAAAATCAACTTGGCCACAGATGCAAATCCTGGCTGCCCACCACCCCCCCGGCCCCAACCAACCTGCGTCTGCTGACAAGTATTATCAAGGCACTTCCTTCTTTGTGGACGTGGCAATGACGCTCACATCAGCCCACGGAAGCCTCACGTGGATGCTGGTGGGAGAGAGTTTGCCCCATGTGCTTTGGCTGCTTCCCTTCCCACACTGGGCCCCTGCCCAGCATCTACCACCATGGTACTCCAGAGCCCATGACTCTCCCTGCCACTCACTGACCATTCCCCAGTAGCATTTCTCCAGCTTTCTTGGAATAATGATCTTTCTTCATTTGGCTTCTGGGACCCATGCTTTCCAGCACTGTTGCTTATCTCATGGGCTCCATCTTGTTTCTTATGTTGGCATTTCCTTCTCTTCTGGGTTTAGTCCTTGGACCTCTTTCCTCTGTCTGCGGTTACCACCTTGTGATCTTATCTGGTCTCAAGGAGTTCAATACCATCACTGCCTTTTGGCTCACTAGCCTGACCTCTCTCCGTGGCTCAGGCTCATTTGTCTAGCTGCTTCTTTAGCGTCTCCCATTGAGGTTGATGTTGTGCCCATTTACCCAGCTGCTCAGGTGGAAAATCTGGGAAGAATTCTTGATGCTTCTCATTCTTTAATTTACCAAATTCAATTCATCAGCAGATCCAGATCAAAATATTTCTAGACTCCAACTATATTTCACAAAACCTCCACCATGGTCCATCATTAGTCTCACAGATTACTGGGACACCCTTGTATTAGAGTTCTCCAGAGAAACAGAATCAACAGGCTCTATCCACCTACCTATCATCTATCTCTCTATCTATCAATCTTTTATCTAATTTACTTAAAAGGAATTTGAAGGCAGTTCTCTGTATAGAATTTGTGTGTGTTTTTGTTTTGTTTTGGTGCTGAGGATGGAACCCAGGGTCACTCTACTACGGAGCTATATCCGCAGCCTTATTTATTTATTTATTTTGAGATAGGGTTTCTCTCAATTGCTCAGACGAGCCTTGAACTTGGGGGCTCATGTGATTGTCAGGGCTGGTCAGCCTGAAATCTATAGGGTAGGTTGGAAGGCTGGAGATTCAGGGGAGAGTTGACATTATAGTCTATAGTGAATTCTTTTAATTTTATGTTTTGCCAGCATCTATTTTAATTGTAAGTTGGACTTTCTCACACAGGAAGTAGGGTTCCATCACCCTTGGCACAGTCTCTAGTTTTATCTCCTCGGCACTAATTCCTCAATGTGATCGATTTGGATTTCTGCCTCATACAACTGCACCCTGGTGAATACTTCCCTGTGGGACAGCTAGATACAGCTTGTTTGACTGGTCCCCCTGACCCTCATGCTCTGCATGGACTGTGCAGATACATCAGAGCAACTACCTGTCAGTCATGGTGTGACTTCCTGGAACTTGTATGTGACTTCCTGGAACTTGTGCCTGTTTGCTTTAAACCCACCAATTAAAACTCCCTATGGGGAACCTGTTTAGATAACACCCTGAACCCAATAAAGATGTTGGCACACTGGTCTCTCTCTCCATGCTCTCCCTGGTCTCCATGCATGTGGCCTCTGGGAGTGCCATTTAACCTCCCAGGACCTGTAAATAATAAAATCTCCATGTCATCTTGTGTTGTCTCTCTTAATCAGCGGAGAGATGTTCCCTATCTTAAAGATCCTTCATTCAAACAGATTTGAGTCTGGAATCTGAAGGGTGGGTCAGCAGGTGGGAAACATAGGCAGAGTATCTATGTCACAGTCTTGAGGAAAAATTCCTCCTTTGAGAAATCTTTATCTTTGCTCTAAAGACTTTCAACTGACTGGATGAAGCTCACTCACATCTTACAGAGGGCAATCTGCTTTACTCAAAATCTATTGAGTATAATATTAATTATATCTAAAAATATATTTTTGTCAGCAAGAGCTAGACTGTTTTTTTTTTTTTTTAATTTTTTTTAAGAGAGAGTGAAAGACAGAGAGAGAGAGAGAGAATTTTTTTTAATATTTATATTATATTTTAGTTTTCAGCGGACACAACATCTTTGTTTGTATGTGGTGCTGAGGATCGAACCTGGGCCGCATGCATGACAGGCAAGTGCGCTACCACTTGAGCCACATCCCCAGCCCGACTGTTTTTTTTTTAACCAAACAATGGGGTACCTTGGCCTGGCCAAGTTGATATGTCAAATTAACCATGACAAACACCCACAGAGATCTCTCTTGTCCTTCTTTAGGCCTTTCTCCATGTAGCAGACACAGCGATTGTCTGAGAATCCAAGTCTCTCCCGTTTTTATGAATGGCTTCCCCCTATACTCCAAGTAAAAATCACAGGCTTCCAGTTACAATGTACCTTTGGGACCCTCTCTTCATCTTTGACCTCAGCTCCAAAAACTCTGCCTTTCACCCTCATGTCCTCCAAACCTGTCAAAGATTATTCGCCTTGGGGTTTTACTCTTTTCTTATAAACTGGTATGAGTCACCTCCTCATTTCCTCCAGGTTTCTGCTCAAATGCCACTTCATTTAAGAG